GTGCAAGTGAGCCAAGTCCAAGAAAGGAGTTAGGCAAGTGGAGTAGGAAAGGGGACTGATTATATAGGTTGGGGCAAATGATCATTTAAAGGTGAAAATCTATTTTAGGGAGGGGAAGGGCATCACAGGATGCATGGTCACAAGGGTGGGGGTTATTGGTTGCAAATAGAGGGGAGAGTGTGGTAAATTACATAGTTATAGGGATGGGGGTCTTGAGAAACCTAATGTCTAAGAGGAAATTTCGCAAGACTGAGCAGGAACAATGGTCAGATATTGCAGGGGGAGAGCAATAAGTTGAGGCAAGGACTAGTTGTTTCACTTCTCTTTATGACCATCCAGTTGCTTCAGACTTTCTGGCTCCTGGAGACCATTTGGAGGTGTATGTGCAGGTCATCAAGCATCTAAGGGCCAGGCTTGGACTTGGAGGTCTGACTGGGGAGAGGAAGTCGTTAGCTTCTGGATAGATTTTAAAAGATGGAACCAACAGATCTGCTGCATCAGATGTGGTTGTGAGTGAATGTACGGAGGGAAGGCTATCCAGGGTTTCTTTTTTGTTGGTTTGTTTTCCTTCTTGAACATGTGGAAGAATGGAAATTGGTAAGTCAGAGCAGGGAGCACCTTTCAGGGGGATCAGGAATTGGGTTTTGGACCTGGTGAATCTAAGGTGTTCTGCATTGGAGGTTCACATGGGTACCTGAACATGCAGGCCTGTAGTTCTGGAGAGGGAGTGGTGCTAGAGACCTTCAATGGGTGAGGCATAAGGTCAAAGCCTGTAGATGAGATTTAGAGGGTGGGATATTAAGGATGTCATTTTATGTGGTCTCTGAAGTGAGAGGTAGGGTTAGAGTGGGAGGCCAGGGAAGAAGGGGTGGACACTTAAGATTCCTTCCAGAAAGGAGGGGTCCTGACAGGTGAAAGTCTTAGGCATGCTCTGAATGAAGAGACCACCTAAACAGGCTTTGTCTAAGCAACAAAGCTGTTTATTGACCTGGGTGCAAGTGGGCTGAGTCCGAAAAGAGAGTCAGCAGAGGGCGGTGGGATCGAAGTTGGTTTTATAGGTTTGGGGTAGGCAGTGGAAAGTTACAGTTCAAGGCAGTTTTTTGCAAGCTGCAAGCCGGGAGCGGGGTTTGCTGGGGGATAAGGGGGTGTCACAAGGTCCGGTGTCACGAGGTCGGGTTATCTGTTAAGGCAGGAACAGCTGTGGCAAGAACAATGGCAAAATGTTGCAAGGTCAGTTAATTAGGCACTGCAGGAACTAGCCATTCTTCTGTGGCTTTTCTATTACTGCAGACTTTCTGGCTCTGGGAGGCCTTCTGGAGGTGTACGTGTGGGTCACGGGTCACCATGGTGTAGTCCATGGTGCAGCCAGTTCAAAAATCTTTCATTCCTGTCTTTTTTATATTAATAACATAAAGGAGAAAAGTAAAAACTAGAAAACAGGAGGCAGTGAATATTTTGGGGGCAGTATAGAGGGGTAGTGGGTGATGTTTCTCAGGGCATCTTCGAGCAAGATTGGAGATGGCATGGAAGCCTAAAAATGGGAGAGAATTTAGACTGCCAAGAAGTTTTGAGGCAAAGGTTGATACTGTGGGTTTGTTAGGAGGAGCATTTGCCACGTTGACTGATCTGTTATAGCCTGGATATGGTTTCGTAGGAATTGAAAGACTAGTCGGAAGAGGCAAGATCCAAATAAGAGAAGGAGAAAAATGGGTATGAGGGGGCCTGCTAATGGAAGGAGCCATGATACCCAGCTAGAGAGTGGCCAGCTAGGTCCAGAATAATTATTTGCCTGATTAGTGAGCTTTTGGACCCTGTCTTTAAGTCTTTTGATGGTGTCATATACAAGGGCGGATTGGTTTAGATGAAAGCAGCATTCTTCATTTAGGAATAGGCAGAGTCCTCCTTTTTTTAGCAGTTAGTAGATCGAGGCCTTGGTGATTTTGCAGGACACCTGCAGCCAGGGAATTGGGCTTGAAGACAGATAGTGTTTGAGTTATGTCTGTAATGCTGGCGGAGAAATCATTAGAGAGACTGCGAAATGTGGCAATAGAAGTAGTGAGACCTGCTATACCCAATCCTACAAGTAAGGGAATTAATGGAATGACTCTTTTTGGCCGTGTGGGGATTACAAGGGGGACAGGGAGATGCTTATTTCCGTTGACAAACTGGATTTTGGGAGTAAGGAATATTAAGGTACAAGTGCCTGTCCAGTTGGTAGGAAGGCAGATGTAGGTGGAAGAGCCACAGAGAAAGAAAAGTCCTTGGCTCAGGCAGAACTGGAAGTGTAGACTAAAAAGGTGAGAAAGTGTTCTGAAGGAGCTGGGTTTTTTTTTTTTTTTTTTTCTTTTTTTACTTATAACACGGCTGCTTACTTACAGAGGAGTTAGGATTTTTCATCCAGATACCAAGGGAACCAGCAAGGGCTGCAGCTGTTAGAGGTTGTAGTGGGGTTTCATAAGGTAACTGGTTGGAGGGAGAGGTTTTATTTTCATGGTGTATGAGAAAGTGTTTGGTATCTGTAAGTAATCATCTGCTTTTGTTAACAAAGCTAGGTATGAGCAGACAGGAAGAAGGGTCTGGAGGAGAGTCTGATGAACAAGGAGAGGGCAGCCAAGGGTAGAGTGAGAGAGTGGTAAATGCCTACCTAGGCACAACTTGCTATTGACATTTTTAAGAGTGCTAGTAATGAGGGAGGGCCCTTTTGTAATGCGAAGTGAAGCTGGCCTGATTCTGTTTCTTGGTTAATGTGGGTGGCAAGGCTTTCAAGGTGGAGTGTAAAGGAGCACAAAGAGGGTGGGAGGTTTCCTAGGGGAATTGTAGTAGGTTGATTGTCAGGAAATACATGAGGGAGGTGATAGGGATAGTTGTGTGGTTAGTGGTCCAAAAACAGGCGTTGTGGAGTTGGTATATAGTGAGAGGTTACATAGGTAGGTGCAAAGAAGAGCAGTGGCCTGTTGGTATGAGATACCTGGAGTGTTTCTGTTGAATCTAAGAAGTAGAGGAGTTCTTTGGGGGTGGGTACAGGTAGGGGTTGTTGAAGGAAGTTTGGAGATACAAAGAGATGGGAGAGTTTGCCCAGGCTGCTGGTAGGGCAGGGATGGCTGTGTAGGAGGGAGAGGGATATAGGTAGCCAACAATCACTGGCTAAGGAAGGATTTGAAATAGGAGAGAATGGGTTAGATTGATGGTCTGTTGGAGGTAATTAGGGAGGGGTAGAGGATAGCAGGAGAACAGGAGTGAGGTTAAGAGTGAGTATAAAAGAAAAGAAAATAACTATTGGGGTGGAAGAGTTGGAGAGTTCCCTGCCACTGAAGGTTATCTATTCACTCTAAGAGAGAGTTAAGGTTGGCAGCTTGAGGGTAAAACCGTGAAATATTAGCTGTAGTTGCCTGGAGGAAACTTAAACAAAAGCAGGGCATGTAAAATTAAATGAGTACAGTGAATCTGAGCACAGTTAGACAGAAAATTACGGAAACAGAGACTTTCTGAGGTGTGGTTTAAGTAACGGGGGCGACTGTGTAAAGGCCTTTCACAAATAGTAATGTTAAGAAAAAGATGATTCCACTTCGCAGTTGTGGGCGAGTTTTAAGAGAAGTGGGAGCTGTGTTATTATAATGGTTCCAGGGGTGAATAGTCATGCAAGGGGTATGTCTGCCAACACAAAACCCTGACTGTTAAGCAAAGAGGTGGTGCTGACTTTTGGGGGTCCTGTAAAGCGGACAGGAAGGCTAAATGAAGCAGTTTGGGTAACTAGAAAGTTTTGATAGTCTCTTGGGGCTTGGAGTTGTAAGGTAAAGTTGCATTCATGGGGGAGTAGGTGGCCAAGAGATAGGCTGGAGGCTAGGTTGCGTTGGAAGCATAAAGGAGACTGACATCTTTTTCCTAACACTGCTGTTTGCAGAAGACCTTTACACAGTATCTGTGGTTACAGAACCGTGTTATTTTATGTGGTCTCTGAAGTGAGAGGTAGGGTTTGAGTGGGTTTATTACCTGTATATGGAGTGAGGCTGGAAATGCAGGCGTGCAGAAGCTGTACTGCGTGTCCTGTTAGGGTGTGTTCGGTTATGTCAGTGATGGAGAACTCAGCTAATGACTGCATATTTAAGAGTTGAAAGGGGCTTTTTCCTTCGTAGCGAGGATGATAAGTTAGGCAAGTAAGAACCTATGTTTTTGCAGAGATGGGAGTGGCAATATAAGTTGTAGCTGATAGAGAGATGCAAAGCCAGCAACCTTTTCTTAGGGTTGGGTTGGATTGGTTTAGCAAAGGATGGGTTAAGTTAAGGGTTTTGTTGAGGTAATGGAAATAATAGGTGCAATTATGTGGGGCAGCCAAGGGAGCAGGAGGAACAGGCAGACAACGAATGGAGAGGAAAGTAAGTAGTTGTACTTCATTGGGGGAGAAGTCACATGGGGTACCTTGGAAATGAAGGTTATTCACTTTAGAAGAGAGTTAAGGGTGGCAGCCAGAGGTCGAACCAGGAAATGTTTTGGCACACAGAATGGAGGAAGAGGGTGAAGCGGCAAGACAGACAGGAGCAGGGCATTTAAGTTTCCTTAGGAATGCGGGTGAGTTTTAGAGAAGTTGGGGAGCATATCGGGGTTTGGTACTACAGGATGGTTGGGGAGCACTAGCTGATTAATAAGGTGAAGGTTTTGGACTGGCCTGTAGGATTTGTCTGGTATTTTGGACGGGTAGGATGGGGGTCTTATAGGGAGAGTTAGTGAGAACTAAAAGGCCATGTTTTAGTAAGTGAGTTATAACAGGTTTTAGGCCTTTTAAGGCTTGTGCTGGGATGGGGTACTAGTGCTGGGCAGGATAAGGGTGGTCAGGTTCTAAGGGGATGACAATCGATGAGTGAGCAAGGGATTGGAAGGGACACCATAGGGTGAAGGTAGGGGGACATAAGGGGAGCTATTGAGGGAGGTGCGGGTTTGGGGAGGAGGGCGGTAATGAGGTGTGGCTGTAGTCCACAAATAGTTCAGGCAGACAATTTTTTTAGGATATCTTGGCCTAACAGGGGAACTGGACAAGTGGGGATGATCAGGAAAGAATGTGGAAATGATTGCTGGCCTAATTGACACCAGACTTCGGGAGTTTTGGAAGCCTTGCCGTCAACTCCCACAACAGTTACGGAGGCCAAGGAGACGACCTTGAAAAGAAGGCAGCATGGAGTGGGTGGCCCCTGTATTGATTAAGAAGGGGATGGACTTAACCTCCACTGTAAGAGTTAACCAAAGCTCGGCATCCATGACGGTCCAGGGGTCCTCCAAGATGTTCAGGCAGCATCAGTCTTTAGCTGCCAAGCCGAGGAGCAGCAATGTGAGTCAGTCCGACTTCCAGTGGGGGCGCTCCACAGACAGGGCAGGGCTTAGGAGGAATCCCTGGCTTCGGACATTCCTTGGCCCAGTCGCCAGGTTTCCGACACTTGAAGCATGATCTGGGAGGGGCAGTGGATGCTGCATCCCCGGCACTTTGAAGTCTTTGTGAGCTGGTAATGTGGCTGAGGTTTGTCTTATGGCAGAGGCAAGCATCAGTGGGCAGCAGCTTCTTCCCTATTATTGAACACCTTGAAGACTGGGTTGGTTAATTCCTGTTGTGGCATTTGAGGGCCAGATTTAAATTTCTGTAGCTTTTTTGTAATGTCGGGGGCTGACTGAGTGATAAACATTTTTTGGGAGAGTAGAAGTAAGGATGATATTTAAGCCACTCCACGTGAGATTATAGGACTAGGTTAAGTATTGGAGAATCTGATGAAAATGATTCTAACCATTGGCCGATTTGGGAAAGATTGGATAAAGAAAGAAATGTGCACCCTAACTTTGCCTTTGGCTCCAGTCATCTTTGGAAGGGGGAATTGTTGGGCAAAGGCAGAGGAGTTAGCCTTGGGACTAAACTGTAAGCTGGACCAGATATGAGGTGGGGAGGTGACGGGAGGTATAAGGAGGTGGGTTGTGGGCAGAGGAAGAGGAGGGAGGCTTTGGGGGGGGGGGGGTTAGGGCCTGGTTTGGACAGGTGAGGAGGAGAAAGATTGGAAGGGTTGATGGACAAGGAAGATTCTGAGTTACTGGCGGAGGCAAGAGTGGTGGACAGAGGAGAGAGAAGAAAATTTGGGATTGGTTGCATTGAAAGCAGAAATTAGGGAGGGATTGGGGTGTAAAAAAATGCTTGGACGTCAGGCACCTTAAGCATTTCCCCATTCATTTGTGAAAATTGCCTAGGTCTCACAGAATAGAAAAATTGAAAGTGTTGTTTTCTGACCATTTGGAACCGTTGTCTAATATGTACTGGGATCAGGCTGTATTGCAGAAAAAAAGACGTTTAAGTTTCAGATTGGGCTGTAGTTGAAGAGGTTTTAAGGCCGGGCGCGGTGGCTCAAGCCTGTAATCCCAGCACTTTGGGAGGCCAAGGCGGGTGGATCACGAGGTCAAGAGATCGAGACCATCCTGGTCAACACAGTGAAAACCCGTCTCTACTGAAAATACAAAAAATTAGCTGGGCATGGTGGCGTGTGCCTGTAATCCCAGCTACTCAGGAGGCTGAGGCAGGAGAATTGCCTGAACCCAGGAGGCGGAGGTTGCGGTGAGCCGAGATCGCGCCATTGCACTCCAGCCTGGGTAACAAGAGCAAAACTCCGTCCCAAAAAAAAAAAAAAAGAAGAGGTTTTAGGTTTTTAGGATGCAGACTAGAGGCGAAGACTGAGGAAAAGAGGGCAGAACACTGCTTATAGCAAAGGCGATAAGTTTTAAAGAAAGAACTAGAGAAGAGACAAGGAGATGGAGTGAGCAGCTACCAGGATTTTCAGTAGGCATTCCTGACAGAGTCCTGGGCTGTAACATGGGTTAGTGATCAAAGCAGGCATCCCTTCGAGTGACCAGACACCAAGGGAAGACCGTCTGACCTAGTGGAGTTCATAACTAACGTTGCGGATAAAGAGTGTCTCCTTTGCCTCTAAGAAGCAGAAGGAGTTAGGCCAGGCGTGGTGGCTCACGTCTGTAATCCAAGCACTTCGGAGGCCAAGGCAGGTGGATCACCTGAGGTCGGGAGTTCAAGACCAGTGGTGAAACCACCCCGTCTTTTAAATAAATAAATAAATAAATAAAAATTTAAAAAGGGCCGGGTGCGGTGGCTCAAGCCTGTAATCCCAGCACTTTGGGAGGCCGAGGTGGGTGGATCACGAGGTCAAGAGATTGAGACCATCCTGGTCAACATGGTGAAACCCCGTCTCTACTAAAAATACAAAAAATTAGCTGGGCATGGTGGTGCGTGCCTGTAATCCCAGTTACTCAGGAGGCTGAGGCAGGAGAATTGCCTGAACCCAGGAGGCGGAGGTTGCGGTGAGCCGAGATCGCGCCATTGCACTCCAGCCTGGGTAACATGAGTGAAACTCCGTCTCAAAAAAAAAAATAAAATAAAATAAAATAAATAAAAATTAAAAAAAAAAAAAGAAGAAGCAGAAGGAGTTAAAGGAAAAGAGTGGGGGAGCCAAGGGGGTTGGGGGGAAGACTTGTCCCTGAGACGTGTCTCCTTTTCTGTACTTAAAAGGAGAAGGATTTAAAGGAAAAGAGAGAGGGAGAGACTGCTTACCTGATCTGAAGGTGGTGAGAAGGTTGTCAGGCTGGTCTGATGTGCTGAGGTGACAGGTGGGTTTCTTCACAGAGGAAGAGCAGGGCCAGGGGCTGGTCTCCCACAGGAGTATCCCTGTCCTGGGTTTCAACACCAGATGTTAGGCGTGCTCTGAATGAGACCACCAAAACAGGCTTTGTGTGAGCAACAAAGCTGTTTATTCACTCAGGTGCAAGTGCGCTGAGTCTGAAAGAGAGTCAGTGGAGGGTGGTGGAATAAGAGTTGGTTTTATAGGTTGGGGTAGGCAGTGGAAAGTTACAATTCAGTGTGCTTTTTGCAAGCTGGAAGCCTGTGGGGGGGGCACTGGGTTTGCTGGGAGGAGAGGGTAGTGTCGCAAGGTCTAGTTTCACAAGGTTGAGTTATCATGTAAGGCAGGAATGGTTGAGGCAAGAACAATGGCAAAATGGAAGGTTGGTTAATTAGGCACTGCAGGAACTAGCCATGCTTCTTCTTCTGTGGTTTTCCCTTTACTTCAGAATTTCTGGCTCCAGGAGGCCTTCTGGAGGTGTACGTGTGGATCACAGGAGTAACCATGGTATAGTCCATGGTGCAGCCAGTTCAAAGAATCTTGCAGGGAGGATTCTGTATGGTGTCAGTAAGTGGAGAGGGCTGCAGAGCATAAGTAGTGTGGCCTGCACTGGAGACCAAGGTATGGGATGCAGTAGATTTGCCACCCGAAAGTCTCACCACGCTCTCACGGGCACTGCCTGTGGAACAGTCCCATCCCCAGCCAGTGCACTGGTGTCTCAGTTACGCAAACCCTCGAGTAAGCAGAAATGATGAACGTCTCTAATGAAGGATCATGCAGCTCCCCTTCAGAGGAATATGTATCAGGTAGGCTGGTTTAGTGCAAAGGCTAGCGTATACCTTGCAAGTACACAGAAGTAGGGAACTAAAAAATGTGTATATAATATAAGTTAAATTGATACCAGCACTTAATGATTGGTCAAAATATTAATTTGCCTAAAGTATTTTATTACAATGGGAAATCTTACCAAATTTTCTGAAAAATTTTTAAAGCAAGCAAAACAAACCTAATTTTTCAAAAACTTATCAGTTCATTTGCATGGATAGTAGTAGCTGTTTCAGAGGCACTTGACGTGTACAGACAAGACTGATAGAAACAGTAGCTCTGTGAGGTGGGTGCCATTATTATCCCCACTTTTAAGATGAGGACACTGAGACACCAGTCTTTCTTTATGTCCACACAGCTGGCAGGAGCCAGCACTGAGGTCTGAGTATCTGAAGTTAGAGAGGTAACCCAAAATCATCCCTGCCAAAGGGCAGGGTTGGCAGGGGTTAGGGAAACAGTTCAGTCCATGAGATCCGACTGTGGGAACCTGCCACTCTCAGCTTCCCTCTTCTTGTGAGGTTGCCATAGTGGCAGAAGCTTGTGATTCCTACCTAGAATGAGTCCAGATTGTCTCAGGCACTCACTTATCCCAACACACCCCCATTATCTCAGCAACTCAGTATAGGAAATTAGAATGTTCTGGGACTCTTCAGTGTCCCTTCTACCTACCGTTTGGAGAGGTCCTGCAGTCACCCAAAGCCCTGTGTTGTAAATTCTGTTTTGGAATTATGTGGAAGGGTTTCCATTTCTGGCAAGCAGTAGAATGAAGTGTGGAACACTGTCTCAGGCACAGGAACCAGCACATGCAATTACTTGACTTGAGGCTAAACTAGGAGTGTTTGGCCTCAGGTCTCCATTATGTCTGGTGGGATCAGACAGCAGGGACAGGATTCAGCCCAGGAGTGGTAGGCAGCCTGAGGATCTGGGTTTCCATGCTGAGAGAGGTAGGAGCCACTGCAGGTTTGGATCTAGGAGGGAATGATCTGACTTTGGTCTTAACCAGCTTTCTCTTCACTGTCCAGTGAAGAAAAGACTGTGGGAGTGAGGATGAGGGAAGGAATACCACTGAGGAGCTTAACGTAACAGTTTAAGTTGGACCAGAGTGGTGGCTGTAGAGGTGGGAGATGTGGATGGATTCTGAATCATTTTCCTTAAAGAGGGACCAACCAGGCTGGGTGTGGTGGCTCACGCCTGTAATCCTAACACTTTCGGAGGCCGAAGTGGGTGGATCACCTGAGGTCAGGAGTTCAAGACCAGCCTGGCTAACATGGTGAAACCCCATCTGTATTTAAAAAAAAAAAAAAAAAAAAGGAGGGACCAACCAGATTTTGGAAGATGAGATAGAAAAGGGGAGGGGTAAAGGATGATCCTGCATTTTTTTTATTCTGAGAAGATACAAGGATGCCATCATCTGAGGGGGACAAAGTTGGTGGTAGGAGTACCTTTCAGAGGTTATATCACCAGTGTAGTTTGGCTACGTGGAATCTGCCATGTTCCAAAGACACTTGAGTGCAGGTGTCAAGTAGACAGCTGGACACAGAGATCTGAAGTTCAGAGAAGGGACTCAGGTTGGAGCTATCCACAGGGTGGCAGCTGACATGTGGATCAGGATAGAGTTTTGCTTTTAGTTTAGAGGGAGAATCTTTAGGTCATGGTGGCAGTGCCATCAGAGAGCACAATGTAAGGGCAGGCACAGCAGGGTGGGGGTAGGGGCCATCTTAGAGGCTAGAAGAGGGAGGGAAGTGTTCTTGGGAGGAAGGGGAATAATAGGTTCAGGCAGGTGGCAAAGTTTCAGGGAGAGAGTGGATGTGAGGTGAAGTACTGTAGTAATAGAAGTGAGGTGGCAGTGAGACCAGAGCCAGTGCTTATTCAGCTCTTTATGTGTCCTAAGGCTTCCGTGGTGGCCCCTGTGGAGTTTTAAGCTAGTGAATTAGCCCAGGGACAGATTGAGTCAGTAGGCAGAATCACTGTGCTTGGGGTAGGTGCTCAGCGGGTGTGGGTTTTGAATGAGTTAAATGTTGAGATGGTTTCCGGGCGCGGTGGCTCAAGCCTGTAATCCCAGCACTTTGGGAGGCTGAGGCGGGTGGATCACGAGGTCAAGAGATCGAGACCATCCTGGTCAACATGGTGAAACCCCGTCTCTACTAAAAATACAAAAAATTAGCTGGGCATGGTGGTGCGTGCCTGTAATCCCAGCTACTCAGGAGGCTGAGGCAAGAGAATTGCCTGAACCCAGGAGGCGGAGGTTGCAGTGAGCCGAGATCGCGCCATTGCACTCCAGCCTGGGTAACATGAATAAAACTCCGTCTCAAAAAAAAAAAAAAAATGTTGAGATGAAGTCTGTGACTGAACTCAGTAGTACAACAGCAAAGGAGAAAAATGCTGAGTTTATCTGAGATCTGCATGTGGTTCTCAATTGCTGAATTGACCCATGAAATAGAACCAGGAGTGGAGGATTTAATAGCTGGATTCAGGTGAATCCATGGCAGTGGAGCCATTCACCAGGAACAGATGTGGTCCTCAATGCATTATCCAAGCATTCTCTGGATGCTGTATGTAGATTTGCATATGGGGAAGCCAGGGTGGTACCTACGTAGTGGGTGTCCATAGATGTAAAGGAGATATGGCCAAAAGGGTGGTGTGCACATGTAGATGGAGTGTGAATTCATGGGCCCAGAGCTTTGCTACTGAGGGTTTCTGAGAGAATGCTGAGCTCAGGTTCTGTATGAGGCATAATCGGTTGATCCTAGGGGAGCTGGCTGATAGGAGAAGGCTGATAGGAGAAGCCAGGCCATGGTGTTTTATCTGTCCACTTGCCTGTTATGCGCTGGTCAAAATGAACAATGGAATACGAGGAGAGAACAGGCATCAGTCAAACTAGGGCCTGTTATCTCATTATAGTTAGATGCGACAAGGAATCCTGGGGAGAGAGGCTGACCTTAGGCTCAGTTGTCCACCACCTCGTGCAGGAGTGTGTGACCTTTGAGGACTTACTTGTGTGCTTCTCTTAGGAGGAATGGGAGCTGCTTGATAAGGCTCAGAGAGACTTCTATGATGAAATAATGGTTTCTGTGCTTTGCATTTACAGTCTCCCTAGGTAAGGCCCCAGTGTCCCATTTTTGTGGGCTGGGCTCTGCTCTTCCTTTCTGCCCTAGGGATGGCTCTTGCCTTTCCATGGCTAGCGCATCGTCACTGCTGTCTTCCCTGATTCCCTCACGTAGGTCCTCTGGTGTCAAGGCTCAGCTAGATGCATTGCCGCCTCTGTTCCCTGTGTCCCTCAGCTCCTGCTGCCCTGAAGCCTTGCCAGGAATGGTTTAGGGGTCAGGGGTCCTAAGGTAAACCACTGAATCCTGCTTAGCCTCTCCCTGGCCAGGTGACTGTCCACACTCATGACACCTCCAGACTCCACTCCCTTCCTCTAATTGCATTTTCCTTGAGTCTGCCCATGTCATCAGTTTCAGTCATCATGGTCACCACTTGTGGGCCCACTGGACTGTTCCTGCAGGACAGTTTTCTGGGGTTCATTTTGTAGTTTGTTTTCTTGTGACTTTGCATGGGTGGGCTACCCTGAGCTAGTGCTTTCTCACTGAGCCTGTTTCATCTTTCCCCTGTCTATGCTTTGTATCTTCCAGGTCCTCTGTCGTTGCTGAACTGTAACAAGAGAGAGAACTCCAGGTGCCTAAATGAAGAGGGCATGACTCTAGTCACAGCAGGAGAGGCTTGGGCAGGCCCTGGTGAGTGGGAGCTGAGGCTGAGGGAGGGCATAACCTCAGGGCTGGGTTCCTATAGTTCCAGAAACCTATGTTGTACCCGTCACTGGTGCCAAGGCCAGAGGCCCTAACTTATATTTACCTGTCTTCATGTTCTGTACACGCTTGTCATTTGTAATCTGACTTCTCACCCAGGGCTGTTCTCTCCTACTCTCTACCAGAGGGGCTCTAGTAGAGCAATAGGACTCTCTTCAGTGCTGTCCAATATTGGACTATACTTAAACACTAATGTGTCGTAAGACACGTACATATTCTGAAATAGTCCCTGAACACATTACTCACTTTTAATCACATTTTCATGGGCCTGGACATGCATTTCTGCATAGCACTCGCCTGTCACCCACAGTCAGCCAAGGTCCAGCTAAAAGTCATTGCAGAGGATGAAGTTGGAGACCTTGCACTTCTCCCTGCACTACACCCCATCCATGTGTCTTTGTTTCTTGTGAGGCCATCTCCATTCTGGGTGACCTTAGATTCTAGTACTGTATAGCAGCCCTTTCTTCAACCTGATCATAGTTCTGTTCCACCAGGAAACTTAGGTGCTCAGTCCTGGGTACACCAGATTCTCATTTGTGATGGAGTTGCCCCACTCACCATAGTCACCATGTACTTCAATAGTACTTTTCTGCCTTCAGGTTGTTGGCATGGAGTGAAGGATGAAGAGGCATCTTCTGAACAGAGCCATACTAATATGTCACATATTAATACTTCCAAGGCAGGTTCACCCACACAGGCGGCTCACTTTTGTGACATATGTTACCCTATCTTGAAAGATATTTTGCACCTGGATGAACACCAGGGTAAACACCTTGGACTAAAACTTCACACATGTGAGGCTTGTGGGAGACAATTTGGGTTCAGTGTAAACCTTCACCAGAACCAGAAGTGTTACAGTATAGAGAAACCCTTAAGAAGAGATGAAGGTGAGGCCTCATTTGTGAATAACTGCACAGTTAGCAAAGAACCTCACCCATCAGAAAAGCCCTTTGCCTGTAAGGAGGAGCAGAAAAACTTCCAGGCTACTTTGGGTGCTTGCCAACAAAAGGCCACCCAAAGCAAGAGGAAGACACACAGAAGCACTGAGAATAAGGATGCATTTCATGGTGAACAAATGCATTACAAGTGCAGTGAATGTGAGAAGGCTTTCCGCCGCAAAGACACACTGGTCCAACACCAGAGAATCCATAGTGGAGAGAAACCTTATGAATGCAATGAATGTGGAAAAGCCTTCTGCCGCAAAGCTACACTTGTCCAGCACCAGACAATCCATACTGGAGAAAGGCCTTATGAGTGCAGTGAATGTCGAAAAACCTTCAGCCGCAAAGCTACACTTGTCCAGCACAAGAGAATCCATAGTGGAGAAAGGCCTTATGAGTGCAGCGAATGTGGAAAAACCTTCAGTCAAAAAGACAACCTTACTCAGCACAAGAGAATCCACACTGGAGAAATGCCTTATAAGTGCAATGAATGTGGGAAATATTTTAGCCATCACTCCAATCTAATTGTACACCAGAGAGTTCACACTGGAGCAAGGCCTTATAAGTGCAGTGATTGTGGGAAAGTCTTCAGACACCAATCTACACTTGTTCAACATGAGAGTATTCACACTGAGTCAAAGCGTTTTGAGTGCATTGAATGTGGGAAATTCTTTAGTCGAAGTTTTGAGTTTATTGCACACCAGAGGGTTCACACTGGTGAAAGGCCTTTTGTATGCAGTACATGTGGGAAAGATTTTATCAGAACCTCCCACCTTGTTCGGCACCAAAGACTTCACACTGGAGAAAGGCAGTGAATGTGGGAAGGCCTACCGCTTAAGCCTTCACCTCGAATCGGCACCAGAAAGTTCACACTGCAGGCAGGCTCTAGGACTGCTCTGAATACAACAGAACTCATCAGTCAGATATTGAACTTCATATATCTGAACATTGACTCAAGGGAGATACCTTATGGTGCCAGGTATGTGGGAAGCTTCTAGGGATGTGTTGCACTTTCTGACCTGCTCAGGTTTTTTGCCTGTCAGTACCTGTGGCCAAAACCATCTTAACTCTACCAGCTTACATACCCCAGCATCAGGGAAGGCAGGGTTTTATATTCTCCAGTCCCTGGAGAAAATCATGAAATGCCTGAGTTCATTGGGGGTCCTCATTCCCTTCTGTGTGACAGGTATAGATATGGACATGACCCATCATTAGCCAAGAAGGTCTGAGCTATATCTGTTGGTGGCTTATACAAAAGGTTTACTTTCTTCATGGATAGTCTTGGTCTCACATACTTGTAATGAATTTTTCCAGCCTCCAAGTCACCTGATCTGGGAAAGTACTTGCCTCAAGTTGCTCTGGTTTGCGATAATAAAGGCCTTACAGTTTAAGCCACTTTTAATCTTGGGGGTTCTTTTCACTGGATTAGATTGAGAACAGGCCCTGCGAAACAGAAGACAGCCTTTGTGGGGTCCTCCAACTTTTTTTTTTTTTTCCATTTATTTTATTGCATTTTAGGTTTTGGGGTACATGTGAAGAACATGCAAGATTGTTGCATAGGTACACACGTGGCAGTGTGATTTGCTGCCTTCCTCCCCATCACCTACATCTGGCATTTCTCCCCTTGCTATCTCTCCCCAGCTTCCCACCCCCCACCGTCCCTCCCCTATTTCCCCCCAACTGACCCCAGTGTGTAGTGCTCCCCTCCCTGTGTCCATGTGTTCTCATTGTTCAACACCCGCCTATGAGTGAGAACATGCGGTGTTTGATCTTCTGCTCTTCTGTCAGTTTGCTGAGAATGATGGTTTCCAGGTTCATCCATGTCCCTACAAAGGACACAAACTCATCATTTTTGATGGCTGCATAATATTCCATGGTGTATATGTGCCACATTTTCCCTGTCCAGTCTATCATCGATGGGCATTTGGGTTGGTTCCTGGTCTTTGCTATTGTAAACAGTGCCGCAATGAACATTCGTGTACACGTGTCCTTATAGTAGAATGATTTATAATCCTTTGGATATATACCCAGTAATGGGATTGCTGGGTCAAATGGAATTTCTATTTCTAGGTCCTTGAGGAATCGCCACACTGTCTTCCACAATGGTTGAACTAATTTAAGGGCCTCCAACTTTGTGTGCCTCAAATGGGGCAGTGGGTTGAGGGAGAACAGTTCTTAGTCCAGTTTTGGACTAGACTAACTGAACTTCCATAGCTGACAAAGCTTGTTAAGTAACAATTCTTTGTAGGCCTGATTTGTCCGGATTTTAGAGTTATTTGAGAGCCCATATGTCACTTTCAGGAGGGCGCTGCTGCTGTGACAGTCTGTAGTGTTTTGAAACAGCATGGATTGGGCGTCTTGTTTCTAGCATATGTCTCATGTTCCCCAACACTATTGAGGTAAACCTATTCCTTAGGACCTGCTGAGTGGCCATGTTTTCTGAAAACCGGAATCTGGTACACAGGCCACTTGGTAAGATCTAAAGCATCCAGTATGGAAACAAAATTGATAAATATTAGGTGTGAATGATTGGGCTTGGGGAGATCGAGGCAAACTAGAGGGGGAGTGACCATTGTAAAAACACCACAGACAGCCCAGGCACTATGGCTGAATGGGATCAGGGTATTCAGAAATCTCAGGATCTCCCGTACTGTGTTACTGTTACGGACAAGGTCCCTGGAGCAGCAATGAATGTAGTTTTCCTGGATTCCTGTACCTCCCTAGGCTCTATACCTAATGTCTTTGCTACTTTAGGGCCTTTGCTGCACATTCACTAACCCTGGGGGTAAAGAGGTGTGATGGGCCAAGGAAGTACCTTTTGTGACCAGCTAGAGTTTCTGGTGACTGTGAGTAATACCTGGAGGGACAACTAAAGAAAACATTTAGAAAGCGCTATCAGAATGTGAAGGTGAACAGGGATGCTGTAGTATTCATGCTTATTCATAGTTCTAACAGATGTTCAATAAACACCTGCTGTATTTCAGGCACTGTCTTTACTGCATGAAACATTTGCAAAACAAGAGACAGACCCCAGTAGCTTACATTGTACTCAAGAAAGAGGAGGAAATATGAAAAAAAAATCCTGAATTATATGGAGTCTTTGAATGTGGCAGGCATAATGGATAAAAGAGAAGGTGAAGGCACTGAGACATGCTGGAATGATATGTAATATCATTACATATCATAGCCAAGAAAGGCCAATTTGTGGATGGATCTTTATTGGAAAAGGACATGGAGAGCTCAATGCCACTGAAATTAAAGTTCAGCGTTTTTCAAAATTTCCCTAGAAATCAGAACTACAGTATGCCATGCAGGGCCACAGGAGGAACAGGTTTTAGTGTGAAAGAAGAGGCAAGAGCTAGGGGAAAGCCTAGACCAGATCCTTTATTGTGTTTTCCATGGGAAAGGCAAGGCAGATCAGAGCCAACATCTGAGTACTGGCTAGTCTGAATAATTCTGGTTGGCTTTGATTTACAGGAGTGTTCTCTAGTTGCCTCCTACCTGGCCCTGGTGTTACAGTAGGTAGTTAGATATGAATAGGGCAGGAGAGAGGGACCCCAGGAATGTCAGGCAATTTTCTTTTCTTTTTTTGAGACGGAGCTTCGCTCTTGTTGCCCAGGCTGGAGTGCAATGGCACTATCTCGGCTCACTGCAACCTCGGCCTCCTGGGTTCAGGCAATTCTCCTGCCTCAGCCTCCTGAGTAGCTGGGATTACAGGCATGCACCACCATGCCCAGCTAAGTTTTTGTATTTTTAGTAGAGACGGGGTTTCACCATGTTGACCAGGATGGTCTCAATCTCTTGACCTCGTGATCCACCCGCCTCGGCCTCCCAAAGTGCTGGGATTACAGGCGTGAGCCACCGCGCCCAGCCCTGTCAGGCAATTTTGGAGTCAAGGACAGGCAATCATAAATCTTTTCCTCTGAGATAATAAACATAACAAGAGAGGAACCCCAGAGATGTCCAGCTCTCATTGGCTGAAGGACAGGAGAGCATAAAACTATCCCTCTGAGATGCTAAGTGGCCACGATTGGTACTGGGAGGGAAAAGAGTTTTTCAACAGATAAAAGACACCTGGAACCAGTCACCCGCAATCCCTGCACAAAATGGGGCAAGCATGCACAAAATGTGGCAAGATGGCAGAATTTGACTGGTATTTGACCTTCCTCTGGGGGTGCTTGACTCATAAGGGAAAATCACCCCAAATGAGTACGTGCCTGACTTCAGTAAACAAACAGTGCATGCGGCCCCTCCCAAGTGCTGGCAGACTACTGTGCATGCAGTGGTCAAGCAACAGCCTACCCAAGGGAGGAATCCAGAGGAGAAAAAAGAGCCTGGGAAATGAGCAAAGTTATAAAGTCCCAAGTCAAAGATCAAGTGGGGCACTTGACCTCTCAAGTCATCTACTTGGCCCTTTTCCAAGTGTACTTTGATTCCTTTCACTCCTACTCTAAAACATTTTAATAAACTCTCGCTCCTGCTAAAAAACCTGCCTTGGTCTCGTCCTCTGCCTTAAACCTAACTCTGCCGCAGTTTAATTCTTTCTTCTGAGGAGGCAATGACCAAAGTTGCTGCAGACTGCTGCAAACTCACTGGCAGTAACACTGGGATGATTTAGTGCGGGGAAAGAATTGGCTTGGTAAGAGTTAGATAAAGAGGGTGGTTGGCTTGCTTGCTCCCAAATCATCGTTTACTATTTTTAGAAAGTAGCTGTCTCTGGTAGGGAAAGTCCCCCCATAGCCAGCAAGAATTTTAAGATGTCAAGACATAAAATACAAAAAAGAAAAACCATGATTAATACATAAGCTTCCTTAATGACATAGTGGTTGAAAAAAAAAGGTTGAGGAATGAGGGCCCTGAACAGACCGTTCCACAATTATGGATATAAAAATATTAGTTAATATGTGTGTTCTTGGAAATTATAAGATGTGCACATTGAATTTAGGGGCTACTGATTTAGGCAAGGTTTTAAGCTCAGAATTTTGTTCAGGAAGCATTTAAATGACTCTCAATCCTATATTATAGAGCCTCATCCATGGTAAGTCACTGAGTGCTTATGTAAAAACTCCAGACCCTTGACAAATATTAACACCAGTTAAACCCCTTAAACAGACAGATTTTCAATTAAACAATTGGGGGGAAAAAAAAGCTTTTTTTTTTTTTTTTTTTTAAAGAGCGGGTTTCACCATGGTGGCCAGGCTGGTCTTGAATTCCTGACCTCAGGTGATCCACCCACCGCAGCCTCCCAAAGTGCTAGGATTACAGGCGTGAGCCACTGCGCCTGGCCAAAAAGGCTCTTTCTATGAGATATGTTTTGAGTTTATTAGAAGCCAGCAATTTATGTATTTCTTCATCATTAATTTATCATTTATAGCAATCACTTTTCCGAAATGCATCGAATTTAAATTATATTAGAGAATTTAGATACAGATTTTATATTTATATACATTAAACAGTATTTTATATGATTCAATTTTTTTAAATAACAAAAGATAATTTTTCAATACAATTTTGATTACATGAACATCACATAAGAGCCTGCAAAGCTTCTCCTGCCTCAGCCTCCTGAGTAGCTGGGATTACAGGTGCCTGCCATCGCATCCAGCTAATTTTTGTGATTTTAGTATAGATGGAGTTTTACCATGTTAGCCGGGCTAGTCTCAAACTCCTCACCTCAGACAGTCTGCCCGCCTCAGCTTCCGAAAGTGCTGGGATTACAGGAATGAGCCAGTTTGCCTGGCCAGCAACATATATTTTTTAAGGACCAAGAATTATGGCCATAAAATTACTGGCAAGGCTGGGTGTAGTGGCTCACTCCTGTAATCCCAGCACTTTGGGAGGCGGAGGTGGTTGGAGCACCTGAGGTGCAGAGTTCAAGACCAGCCTGCCCAACATGGTGAAATCCCATCTCTAGTAAGAATATAAAATATTAGCCAGGCGTGGGGGCGCATTCCTGTAATCCTAGCTACTTGAGGTGCTAAGGCAGGAGAATGGCTTGAATCCGGGAGATCACGCCATTACACTCCAGCCTGGACAACAGGAGCAAATCTCTGTCTCAAAAAATAAGTGGCGACCGGGCGCAGTAGCTCATGCTTGTAATCCCAGCACTTTGGGAGGCTGAGGCGGGCAGATCACAAGATCAAGAGATCAAGACCATCCTGGACAACATGGTGAAACCTCGTCTCTACTAAAAACAGAAAAATTAGGCCGGGCGCGGTGGCTCAAGCCTGTAATCCCAGCACTTTGGGAGGCCGAGGTGGGTGGATCACAAGGTCAAGAGATCGAGACCATCCTAGTCAACATGGTGAAACCCCGTCTCTACTAAAAAAATACAAAAAATTAGCTGGGCATGGTGGCACGTGCCTGTAATCCCAGCTACTAAGGAGGCTGAGGCAGGAGAATTGCCTGAACCCAGGAGGTGGAGGTTGCGGTGAGCCGAGATCGCGCCATTGCACTCCAGCCTGGGTAACGAGCGAAACTCCGTCTCAAAAAAAAAAAAAAAAAAACAGAAAAATTAGCTGGGTGTGGTGGCGGACACCTGTAATCCCAAGTACTCAGGAGGCTGAGACAGGAGCATCTCTTGAACCTGGGAGGCGGAGTTTGCAGTGAACCAAGATCACACCATTGCACTCCAGCCTGGGCAACAGAGTGAGACTCTGTCTCAGAAAATAAAAATAAATAAGTGGCAACCAAATTAAATGATTTCTTTAAAATTGAACAAAGGTGAATGAAAATGAAACCCTTAAAGTTATCTTTAAGTGACAATGACTGCCACATGTTCTAAAAGTTACTTTTATTTTTTAAAATGACAGTTTCTAAGATGTATTTCAAGAAACCAGCACTGGATACTATCTAAAGTGGTAAAAGCGATTTCAATTAGGACCTATTGGAATAGAGAGAAAGCGACCTCATGAAACTAGGCTCAATTCTGAATACAGCATAGACAACAGGGAATTTCTAGCCAGTAAACAGACTGAGTATATAGTCAGCTCATGGTTAATTACTAAGAGGAAACAGCAGAGCTAAAGGAAGATTTTTTTTTTTTTTTTTTTTTTTTTTTTTTGAGACGGAGTTTCACTCATGTTACCCAGGCTGGAGTGCAATGGCTCGATCTCGGCTCACCGCAACCTCCGCCTCCTGGGTTCAGGCAATTCTCCTGCCTCAGCCTCCTGAGTAGCTGGGATTACAGGCACGTGCCACCATGCCCAGCTAATTTTTTGTATTTTTAGTAGAGACGGGGTTTCACCGTGTTGACCAGGATGGTCTCGATCTCTTGACCTCGTGATCCACCCGCCTCGGCCTCCCAAAGTGCTGGGATTACAGGCTTGAGCCACTGCGCCCGGCCAAGGGAGATTCTTATTTTTAAAAAAAGTCTGTCTCTCTCACTGCTCACTGCAACCTCCCCCACCCAGGCTCAAGCAATTCTCTTGCCTCAGCCTCCCGAGTAGCTGGGATTACAGGCGCCCACCAACACACCCAGACCATTTTTGTATTTTAGTAGAGGCAGTGTTTCACAATGTTGGCCAGGCTGGTTAGAACTCCTGATCTCAAATGATCCGTCCACCGCAACCTCCCAAAGGGCTGGGATTACAGGAGTAAGCCTGCTCAGGAAATTCTTTTTTGTTGTTTTTGGTGTTTTTGAGACAGAGTCTCTCTCTGTTGCCCGGGCTGGAGTGCAGTGGTGGTCTTGGCTCACTGCAACCTCCGCCTCCTGCATTCGGGTTCAAGCAATTCTCCAGCCTCAGCCTCCCAAGTAGCTGGGATTCCAGGCACCGGCCACTAAACCCGGCTAAATTTTGTATTTTTAGTAGAGGTGGGGTTTCACCATGTTGGCCAGGCTCATCTGGAACTCTTGACCTTGTAATCCGCCCGCCTCGACCTTCCAAAGTGCTGGGAGTACAGGCATGAGCCACCTCGCCTGGCTGGGAAATTCTTATAAAAGGATCTAATAGGATTCCTGCTGAAGGTTTGCGAGGTTGGTCAGCCATCACCTGCAGGATGGTCAGGGCTCAATAATTTGATTAGATATTGAAGTCAACCTAATATCAAAGTTGTCGGATGTTTTATGTTATGGCATCAG